TAAGCAGAATAAAAATCTAATCATCTTCATTGTCATTATCTTCATTTTTAACAATCATCATTTCTTTCTTTCCCTTCCCACTCTCTTTCTTAAACCACTTATAATGTGAATTGCATTTTACCACTCATTTTTATTTATTTGGATGAGAATACCAGATAGAATCATCCCTTATGCTTTGGATGCACTAGAAATAAATTTGCCACAACTGGCAAATATAATTTATTTAATCAATTTTTGACCCTAATTAATTTATAGGTACTGAGCTCTTGCTTCCAAGCAGATGTCGAAAAGCAAACACAAAGAAGTATACTAATGCTTGGAAAATTGCTTGCTCCAGATTTTATTTCTAAAAGTAATAATGATAATTTTAAGCCAGTACCTTTCAAAATGCTTGTATAAATTCAGATTGGTTTTAACTAATTCTTTTGAATTTTCTTTGAATTAACTTTCAGAATAATAGTAAAGATAGATTTGTCTTTTACTGGAAAGGAAAACAGTGATGATGAACACAAAAAGACCCCCAATATGGCATAACAAAAGGAGAAAGCCTTGGGATTCACAACCTTGGGATATGCACAACGAAGCTTTCTGCTCACTATCTGCTGTGATATTCTTGTGCAAACAAACATGTAAATATGTGCTATGATATTTCCAGAATTTATATAGCATTGAATCATAAAACTGAAAAAGTAATACATCTGATGTTGCATGTACTTTGACCTTTATTGTTTAGACCATAAAACCTTGTTAATATCCTGACTTATGTTCAGTGAAATTTTGGAATGAGAATGCTTTACTTCAGGCTTATCTTATCTTCAGGTCAAGATAAATTTGGGGTATTTCAATGAGATAAAAATATAATAATATATTAAAATAAATCCTTATTTCTGAGTGAAGGAATCACAGGTGAACTTTAGAAATAGGCACAAAAATATCTTTACATTTTAAGTGCTAAATAATCTCCCTTCAATTTTTTAAAAAAAGAATAACTGTAAAGTCTATTTGCTGCATATAGCTTTCCACAATACTTGACATACTTTATGAATTAAGTTTTTCAGTAGTGAACAATTATTACAATGAAAACAAGAAAATATGAATAATTGAATGGTCTGTTACAAGGCTCTATCACAAGTAGGTAACCATTTTAATTTGCTTAAACAAGTGGTGGAAAATAAAAGAATTGCAAAACTCTTGTGAAATGAAAAAGAAATATTAATTTCTATGGCCATATCTAGATATTACTAGAAAGCTTTATAGTTGGCATTTATTTCTCAATTGCATCCTCAGGTTTATTCTTTAAGGTCCCAATACTATATTGACTGCTTCTTCCAATTATTTGATTGCTTTGACTGTATTTGACTGAAATGTTGTTACCTATTTAAGCAATTCTACATGGATTAGAAAGTGTAGAATACACGTATTAAACAGCACCAGCAACATGCCTCCTCTACCAGATCCGATGGGACAGGCAGATATAATCGAGGAGAGGTGGCCAACAGATAACCTGGCCCAATGCCATGAAGGGCTTTAAAGCTTAAAACCAACAACTTTCCCCCCCTCTTTTTAATATATTTCTTTATTGTGTAGTTGTATAAGTTTACTTGTTTAATATAATCTTTTAATAAAATTATTGGGGGGCAAATCAGCACAATGAATTTGACCTGGAAGCAAATTGGCAACCAATGCATCTTGCGTAGGAGAAGTATATCACCTTCTGTTCTAGAAGTACACATACCTGCCTGCACCGCTACATTCTGCATCAGAGGAATCCAGATTCTCTGCCAGGGCATTCTGTGTGAAGCACATTTATATTGGTAGAATTGGGAGGTGACTAGAACATGTGTGACTGTGAAAAGAGCCCCCTGATCTGGGAAGGGACACAATCGTACACAACACAAAGATATGCAAAAGGTCCAACTGTCACCTGCTCTTTGAGAAGGTTCCCCAGATTTTGCATTGGGTCTGTCTGGACATTGCAAACCCATCCAGCACCAAAGATGGCATAGCCCTAGAAGTGGCAGACAAAACCTCCTTATCACTCAGGTTCAATCTGTTGTTTCCCATCCAGACCCTCAAAGACTCCACACACCAGGATACGATATTCACAGCATTGTTTAAGTTATTACGAGCAGCCATGTATAGCTGGGTATCATTAAGGTACTGATGAAACCTCACCCATGGAGGCAAATAAGCTCACCCACCTCACATTAGATGTGGAATAGGAGAGTGCACCAAACTTTGCAGTACTCAACATAGCAGGGGCCAAAGATGGGACCCACCCCCCCAAAAAAGCAATAATAACTGGATAAACACTGGAAAAAGGATACCAACCACACAACACTGTGCCACCCATCCCCAATCCTCTGAGTCAATCGAAAAGGCTAACATGATCAATAATATTGAAAGCTGCAGAGAGGTCAAGTAGGACAAGGATGGTGCACAGCCCAATCCCACCCTCACTAGAGTTCATCCAAAAGTGTGACCAATGCTGTTTTTGTCCCATATTTAGGTCTTCGTACCTACTGAAAAGATCCAGATAATCTTCTCTTTTCAAGGCCCTGCAAACCTGCTCTGCAACCACTTTCTCAACCACATGTATGCATTCTACATACAAGAATTTAACTAAGAAAACATAACAAGTTGTTTTCACAATTTCAAAGACACTTAATCTCTACTATCATGTCCTATTCATGTAGGCCTGTTAATAGGATAGCTGAGAAATTGCCTATTGTAGCAAATTTACAGCCAAAAGCAAAACAGACTAAAAAAACATTAAATTGTGCTGCAGTGCCACCTAATGGACTATATATATTGTGAATTGTATGAATATTTTTTTTGTATTTTAACAAATTACATGTAAGTGATATATACCCTACCTTAGCAAAAACAGTTAGCAAAATACTCATGCATATTTTTAGTACTTCAGCATCTGCATAGTTGTTTGAATTTTAATTAAAAAAACACAATAGCAACATTAATTTAAACTGCTTTGCCATGTCACGTTTTAGTGCATCCTTCCAAGATTTTTGGATAACAGTGCTTTCTCTTTTCTGGGAAAATAGTAATTACTTGGGATTGTGGTGGGATTGGGGATGAGGGAAGAGAAAAATAAAAACCCTTCAGTTATTTTTGGGGAAACTCACAACCTGACCAATTTTCTTGCTCTTCTTTGTATTTAATCAGAACTGTCTTGCTATATGGTTTAACAGAATAATACAATATTTCAACAGAAGTGTCTTATATTCAGCCTGTTTGACTATAAAATTAATTCAAAAGGACATTAAAAAGGGAAATAATTCCATATAATTCTTTCAAATAGTGGTACAGATAAAAATATTTGGTTATTATAGACTGTATCAAAAGAATTCTAGTATATCTTGTAGTGCATCTTAAAGAGGTGACATCAATCATGAAAGCCTGATAGTGTTTCTCTTTTTCTCCTCCTGATACTGAGAAGAATCAAGGCAAAGCACCGAGAAAAAGTAATTATTAAAGCTGAAAATCTTAAGTTTAAAGGAAACCAAGGCAAACAAGCAAACAATGATAAATATAATTATCATTGGCACTCAAGATGAGTAAGAGTTCCTTAAAATGACTTAATAAAGACACAGTTATAATCAATCTGATCATAGAAAAAGGTACAAGAATGGTAGTTGATCACGAATATGATCCAATGAGCTACATGGCTGTAAAAAAAGGCAAATTCAGGTGTCATAAAGACAAACATAATTCCCAAACAATTCTAACTTATTCTGCTTTGATTTAGTCTGGGATGTAATGTTAGGTTTCATGTACTGTACTTTCAGGGGAAACTAGAGAAATTGTAACAGTCTCAGAGATGGTAAATAACAATGATCAATACTAAAAACAAAGTTCTATAAAAAGAGACTGAAGAGTTTTATGTTTTAGCCTTGAAAAAAGCTCGCTGAGGGTGTCAAAATGATGCTTTCTTCAAATACCTGAAAAGATGCTGCTAGAAGATAAAATCTGTTCCTATACATTGAAGAATAGAGAATATGAAATAATGGTTATAAGAAGGCAGATTATGACTGAATATTAGAAAAAACTTTTCAACAGTAGGAATAGTAGAACCACCAATCCTGAAAAGTGGCAAATACTAGTCAGCCATTTATTAGGCTGTTCACCTTGAATTCCTGCATTGAGCAGAAAGTTGGACTAGATCTTTCCAAATGTTTGTTCGTGTTCAGTATATATTTGAGTATATATGTATATCAGTCCATTATTATTTTGATTTTATAAATCTTAACCAAATATTAAATATATTGTCCAGAATCACTAGGACATTGGATTTGAATTTATAAGATAAAGCATTTTTCACTTGAACAAGTAGGCAAACAAGGAATATGGATCGAATATAATAACACCGGCATAATAAGGCCATCAAAATTGGGAATTTAGCTAAATTTATGCCCATGTTGAAATATGAATGTTTTAAACAAATTTTCATCTTAATCTTCAGATTTTTTCCATAAAATGTTCTAGTTCTCCCACAATTCATCTGTTGAAGGGTAGCACATAGTGTGTCTTTAATTGAATTCTGAGTCTTTGGGGATTGAGGTGTGTGTGTGTGTGTGTGTGTGTGTGTGTGTGTGTGTGTGTGTGTGTATTTCAAGCTGTTATATAATATTGTTGTCTTATCTTACTGCTAATATACCACTACAGTTTCTGCCTGTAGGATAATTTTTTGTCTTGTAAGTTTTAATCAGTTCATTACAGTTATGTTTGTTAAATAAATATTTTCAATAGTTAAAAGTTCCCCTGGGTCTTTAGATTCCTGTTACAAAAAGTTATTTATCATACTGCAATATTCTAGCATAATTCTTTGTTTGATAGATCCACTGGAAGAAAACATACACAGGATTGCACATAATGTGGGCCTTTCTAGTAGAAGTGTAATGAGATTATGCATGTTTTTTTTCAAAAGTGTCCATCTTCATTAATGGCATGTCCTATATTTATTGTCCTTCCTTTTCCTGTAGGTCTTACTGCAGCAGCATCTCTAGTATCCTTGGCATGGGCACTGGCTTCATATCAAAAAGCTCTTCGTGACTCCCGGGATGACAAGAAACCTATCAGCTACATGGCTGTAATTATTCAATTCTGTTGGCATTTTTTCACAATCGCAGCCAGGGTGATTACTTTTGCTCTCTTTGCCTCTGTTTTTCAACTGTACTTTGGGATCTTCATAGTCCTTCATTGGTGTATCATGACTTTCTGGATTGTCCATTGTGAAACAGAATTCTGCATTACAAAGTGGGAAGAGATTGTGTTTGACATGGTTGTTGGAATTATTTACATCTTTAGTTGGTTCAACGTCAAGGAGGGAAGAACACGTTGTAGGCTTTTCATTTACTATTTTGTGATCCTTTTGGAAAACACCGCCTTGAGTGCTCTTTGGTATCTGTACAAGGCTCCTATGATTTCTGATGCATTTGCCATACCGGCACTATGTGTGGTGTTCAGCAGCTTTTTAACTGGCATTGTTTTTATGCTGATGTACTATGCCTTCTTTCATCCTAATGGACCACGCTTTGGGCAGTCACCAAGCTGTGCTTGTGAGGATACTGTAGCTACCTTCACTCTTCCTGCTGAAGTAGCATCAAGTACTTTAAGGTCTATTTCTAATAATCGGAGTGTCACAAGTGACCGGGATCAAAAATTTGCTGAGAGAGACGGGTGTGTACCTGTCTTTCAAGTGAGGCCAACTGCACCTTCAACCCCTTCATCCCGACCACCAAGGATTGAAGAATCCGTCATTAAAATTGATTTGTTCAGGAATAGGTATCCAGCATGGGAAAGACATGTATTGGACAGGAGCCTCAGAAAGGCCATTTTAGCTTTTGAATGTTCTCCTGCTCCGCCACGACTACAGTATAAAGATGACGCCCTTATACAGGAGCGATTGGAATATGAAACAACACTATAAATACAATGAATAAAGAAAACTCAGTGCAACGGCTCTGATGCATCCAAATAAAAGGGTAATAATAGGGCCGTGGCAATAACTTAATTTCATTCTACAGCAGATCAGGAAGCTATAGCAGTGTCCTTAGTCTGACTACCATCATGATTATCATTTGATCCACTGTACCACAGTCTATCTCAGTAAGCCTAAAAGAAGCAGCATGCAAAAACCTCAAAGAATCATTATTTTTGACTGAGAAATAGACTTAGTCTGATTATTCTGATTTTAAAGTGCATTATACGGAATTTAAAAATAAGGCAGGAAGGGTTGAATGAGTGACATCCAAAACACTAGTGAGTGGGGTTTTCTTTTCTTTTTTTCCTTTTTAGATAAATCCCTACATATATTTTAAGCTGAGTATGTTTGCATACTTATTTACAAAATAAAGCAGCAGTTTAGAAAAAATCGTCAGAATAACTAAATTCATACAAGGCAATGTTACTGTTATATGAATTCTAGTTTCTATGTAAGAAATTAATGTAATTATCTTGCATAGGTAAATCATGAAACATTTTCAAATGAGAGACATTGAACAAGGCATTAATAATTTTCTGTGAAGGTTACATTCAAAACAGCAGTAAAAGAGAATAGGTGTTTTAATCTACTACATATGAATAAAACATCACAGAATGCTATAACTTTTTAGTGCCAAATATCATGTAATTACAAAATTAATATAATATTATGGTTTGAAGAAGAGATAATGTGTTACATGTCCTAAAGAAGTTGGAAATAATACATTGTACTTTCTATAAATACAGTCAATGGTGTTTAAGCAAAAAAATATTCCCTGGTTTGTAAGCATATAAACTACAGTATATACTTTATAAATACTGTAATCTACAGTAATGTACCTTATGCACAAGTTTTTCTTGAAGGAGGTAAAACCACTTTCATTGTACTTGGACATAATACAACATTGTGTTTCAGTTTCACAAAATTGTGTTTCAGTGAGCCTTGGATTTAATGCTACTCCACCTCTTGTCAACTGACAGGACATCTAATAAGATCAAAAGTGTCCATTTCTATTCTAGATGAAGCGCTATTTCACTTGCCATGTTAAGGTTAGTTAAAACAAATTATTTTCATGTGTAGCTTAATGTTCAATGTTTTTCCAACTACACATATTTCTGATTAATAACATTAAACTAGTCTTTGATTAGCTAGAAAAAATAAAATTAACATAAATTTCATTTTAGTATTTTTTAAAACAAGTTAAAAGTTAACACAAGCTAATAAAAAGTAAGGAAGAAAATAAACCAAAAGCAAAGAAAAGCAAAAGATGCATAAAAAATGCACTCAGAAATAATCTAAAATTTCAGTACTCCCATCATAGGTAAATTAAAAGAAGGAAAATACATAAATCCAAAGTTTACTGTGGCTCACTTTTGTACAGCTAAACTATACTTTAGCCTTATATCCAAACCAGCTAACTGTCAAAAATTAGTTTTGCAAATAGATATCTGGGTACGATTCCAAGAAATATCTTTTCTTATGTTAAAAGTATCCTTGATGGTGCTTTTGGTTGCATTAAAGGTGCAAGTCAAAATTTGATAGTATTTTTTTTAACAAAAATTGGTGCAAACTGGAATAACTCATGGATTATATCAATATTTTTGTAAAGCAAAAACTCAGTACGCAAGTTGTTACTTTTATAGGCAGAATCTTTTCACCTGTAATTCATTCTCTTTATTAACTTAAAGTTTCAAAATTAGTCCATAATTATATCTGCTAGTCCTTTGTAAATTAATATAACTGCATAGTCTTGATGCTATATTAGTTTGTTTCACAATATCATGCAATATGAAAATATCCATTGCTACCTTCAGAATATTTCAAAACAGTGAAAAACTTCAGATAAGCGCTTCAGATTTAATGCACTGTGTACAGTGGATGCTTTATAATGAATTCTGATGAACTCTAAACAATGAATCAGCATTTTCCAATCTGGAATTCTCCAATGTTGTTGGGAACACAATTTCAGAAGGTGAAGCCACAGCAGTGGAGAATTGCAGATTGGAAAAAGCCAATTTATAATTAGGTTTAGCGTGCAATTTTGTAGATTCATTAGTGAGATTATAGTTTGTTCATTTTACTTCAGTTAATCTCCGGATAGTGGCAGGCTCTATTTTCATAATGTTTCTGCAGTATATTAGAAACTTCAAAAAGTGAGGTGGTTCGTTGTGTTATTCTTGGGCAGAGGTATAATCGCCTATTGCAAATGTCAGCAAGTTGTTTATGAATATAAGCAGCTTCAATAAGCGGGTAGTGAAACAGATTTTTGTACAGTTGTATTGACAGAAAACAACTTTCCCTCCAAAAAATAACTCTACGTAAATATGCCTGTACTCCCTTCCAACTGAAAATTTCCTACTTCAATTTAATTAACTCTTTAATATTATGGCATGTTGAATTTGCACTGTTTCAAGCCATGGTGCAATTATATTGGCAAAACCTATCTCGTTATTTTAATAGACATACGAGTTGAAATTGTGGGATCAATAAGCTTTCAATACAAATTCAACACGTATGGGTGGGCAATACTGGTCCATTACTAATTTCAAGTGGCCCTCAGTCTGGTTTCAAAAATGAAAACATCTGACAAGAATGGTCCATCCTTTTCCTGAAAACTTGCTGCTTAGGGTGAAAGAGAGGCAGCATGTGCAAAACAGCGAGAGGAGGGGAAAAGATGAAATGTGTCATCTTACACTCTTGCCTGCCCCTGACATCCATTGTTTCAGCTTTACCAAAGTTCCCCAAGAAATTTTTGTGAAAAGAGGACAGCCTTTAACAGCACAAGGATCACCTCATCTGTATGTGCTGCATGAATTTCAGCAAAGCTCCTCTCCATCAACAGTCTTGCATTTGTGATTCTTTTCATAGCATGTCTTCTGCATCTTCCATTATAATGTGTGAAACAAGATACAGTATAAGAGAAGAGGAGGTTTGAGTTTTGCAAAGTTTGTTCAAAAGTAATTAACATCATGTTTGGATAGAAAAGCAGGATGCTTGTTTCTCGTTGGGTTTTTTATAGTAAAGAATATGAACATTTTGTTTTTATTTGTGAGGTCTTCCATGTCTTAAGATTGAACGAATGGATCCTGCATAAGATATATTTGCATGTTTTAGTCATAGCTATCTTATACAGTAAAAGACAATTTATCAATTCAGAGGTATAATTCATTACAATGTAATTTACCCCCACTATGGACAATTTTCAGAGTTCCATGAAGACAATCTCTTCTCTTCTTTAGCTAGGAAGGAGCCTTTATATTCACAGAATGCCCCTTCTTGATATACCACAGTGTTTAATTAATTCTGTCTTGATATGGCTGGAGTTGCCTACATGATTTTTTGATTCTAATATACATAATTCTGTTGTAATACTGTGCAGTCAATACAGTAGACAATACAGTCCACGACATACTCTTATCTCTTGAAAACAGGATTCAGTTTTTCTTCTTCAGTGTTATGATGATGTATAATTATTTTACATGATGTCCTTGAACTTATTTAATTGGTGTAATTTTACAGGAATAATGTTATTATTCTACCGTTTTCATGTTTCCCATTTCATTTCAAGGGAACCAATGGCAATATAAACTTTCACAAAACTAATTCTGGTGCATTCTAGGCAATCTTTTAACATGTAAGGCTCAGCCAATGCCTTCCTGCTACCTGCACCTCCTTCTTTTCCACCGACAAGTAAGAAAAGAAAAATGACCAAACTTTTCCTATTACCTATCCTTAGAATGCAAAAAGTGAAACTTTTAATTCACATACAATTTGCTACCATTTTTTTCCCATTCCCAAAGTGGACTAAACTTTGGGCTAGTGGATTTTAAAGAGGCAAAATGACTACTTGCTTCCACCCCTTCCTCCAAGGAAGGTTCATTTTGCATCCTGGCCTCACCCACTTTTGGAAAGTAGCTCTCAATAGCTGTGTAAATACCAGGCAGACCCACAAGCCAAAGGATGTTTCATAACTCTAATATGCCTTCCTGGGCTGCCACCATGTTGACATACAGTGGTCCTGTTTGTATAATCTGTTTAACTAGATTGGGACAGGGATGTTAACATCTTGCATGGAGTCAACCTTGGGATGCTTTTTTGTTCTGCCAATGCTAAAATGGTTTGGGGCTAAGTTAACTTTCCCCAGTTTGCTACATCATATGAACAAATATAAAGGGATGAATAGAAATGTAACCCTTTCTTTCTGTCTTAGAAAGGTAGTCATTAAATGGTATTATCTAATTAGAGCTTCAGAAAAATATCATCTTTTCATTCATTCTACTATTCACATTTGGTACAGTAAGTACATGAAAGGGCAAGTTGTCTAAATTCCCCTCTGCATCAGCAATAGTTCTGATCTCACTTCACCAAATAGTTTTGGTTATTTTTCTTAATTATTTTTTTAAAAAGTAATAATAAAATTAAAGGCTTCTTACTATGTTTGCATAAGATAGGAAACCAGTCATTATTTGACCAATGCCTTCCTACTATCTGTTATTTGTATTACTTAGCATATATCCAGTTGTACAATTGTACCGTTTCTTACAGACAAATCACTACATCAATGTGGTTTTGTCAGAAATGCTCCTTCCAAATCAAGCCAGTTCAACTTCCAGTTTGCTTCCTCAGCTCCATTTCTTTTCTTTAACACATCTACCTCTGGCTCCATTGACATAAAAACCTCAGTCCTAGTCCTGAAGGTAGCATTATCTCCTGAAATACTCTGACAAAGAAGTAGTTGCATTATCTGACTGCTCTGCTATCTTTAGAAATTTGTTTGCTCTTTTCCACTATTTGGCTGCTATGTGAAAGGATAGCAGGCAGTGGCAAACCTTTAAGACCTTCAGTCTCCAGCCCTTTGCATTGTCACTAAACACTGGCAAGAACTACCTCTGTGTCCCTCACCTGAAGTTTGCTACATGCAACATATACAGAGACACATGGAGGACCAACAAGCCACATTTGCTCTCCCACAGTGATGGTGGCCTCTGTTTCCAGGATTTTTACAGCAGGTTTCCAGAGTATGCAAAAGTCAAAAGTGTTTTTTATTTGTTTGTTTGTTTACCATAGACTGCAGCTTTCCATGAAGTTGCTTAGACATTAGTTCCCCTTATCCCAAGCTTCCAGTTAAAATACAATAAGAATCATAACCTAGTTGTGCTTTCTTCATGATTTTGGGGCTCAGTTATTGTGACAATAAAACTAAAGGGCTTGAGGTTCCTAAAGCAAAAGTAGTATATACGTATAATAAAAACTAAAACAAAATAAATGAATAAATAAACTTTGTAGGACTGCTTACATTACCCTCCTGGATCCTCTAGTACAAATAGGCCCATTATTATCATACTTGTTCTTTGCATGGCCATGGTGATAGAGCTGCTTTCAGTTGGTAGAAGCTATGATTTTGCAGTGTGAACTTGTAAGGACAGTATCTTTGCTACTCAG